CGGACGACAACCCCCCGCCCAACAACTTTTTAATGCGTCTAACGGGTAAAAGGAAGAAGGCAATTTTTAAGTTCTTTCGATCTCTTCTTTCAAAAGTGATTACAAGTCAATAATAGTGCGGGCAGTGGTCATTTAACTCTTCCCCCCACGGGTAGAACATGAAAACAATTAAAAGGCTCTTTTCTATGCACTCCCATCTGTTCCCATACTCTCTCCTGCACTGTATTATTCCGGGCTTCTCCTAAACACTCCCATGACACTTTACAAAGGCTCTGCAGCACAAATGACCAGTCCAGCTGGTGGACGGACGGCCTGTAATCTACCTGCTACATAATCCCTCATGGCTGCCAATCAGCCGGTATTTAATCCCGACAAACTCCGAGCATTCAGCTCCGGGAAATATGTTTACTCAACGCCAAAGGCTGGCTTAGCAGAGATCAATATCTGACACAACGTTCAAAGCAAAAGCCAGTGTTCTTACTAATATATTCAAGCTCATAGGGCATTTAGCAGACATAATACTTTGACACAGAATGATTAAGCCTTGCTTTATAAAATGAAAGGCAGTCTTAATGTGCTTCCTTAATCAATGTTCATCAATAACCATGAACGAGGATATAATTGATCTTTAGGTGAAGACAAAAAAATGTGGCAAAATGTCGGCACATTGCTTTGGTAGGCTTCAGGCCAGGGGAAACTATAACATTAGAGTAAAGGCTTTTGTTCTCAGTTCTCAGGCTTGAGCTGTAGAGTCTGAACGAGACGGGAGAGTTTGTTGACACATTGCAGGGTAATGGAACTCTGCCAAAGTGCTTTGTCGGGGTGTTTAGAGGAACTAGCACTATGTTAATTTCCTGTCCTGATAAAAGAGTCGTACTCGTTCTCTTTCTTTAAATAAGGAACGCATACACAGAATATTCATCAATACAGGCCCCAATATTTAATTGCTTTATTTGCCATGAAAGTTATATTTAATAGAGGGGCCTATTTCGTCTGCATATAATGAACTCTTTGACTAAAAATAAATTCTCTTTAATTTTACGTACTTGTACATGTATGAAGCTCTATTTAATTTAAATCTATGAATCTCGGGGCGTACAGTACAGCACGCACATCCCACTTTGCCGTTTAGAGTATACTTTTTTTGTCATTTTGGCTTTACTATCACTCTGTGATTAAGTGAGGAAGAGAAACGGATATACAGAATGCAGTGCCGTTAATTTTTACGGTCGAGCGTCACCCCTCCGCTATCCTCTTCCACACTCCCCAGTAAACCACCTTTACACTGAAGCGCAGTGTCACTTGTCATTCCTTCTCTTCATCCCCGTACCCCATAACCCCCGCCTCTCCATCTCTTCT